AAAAAACAAAAGAAATTGTTCTAACACTAGTAAAAGAAAACTTTATAAACACTAATAATGGTTGGAGACGGCATGAATGGGTAATGAAGAAAAACTTTAATATAAGTTTAACATAACAGAAAATGTACAACGTTTCGACAAGGTTTTGCCATCATCAGATACCTTCGACAAAACGTTGTACATTTGCTGTTATGTTCAACTTATATTAAAGTTTTTTTTCATTACCCATTCAAGCTGTCTCCAACCATTATTAGTCTCAAAGTGGGTTGCTCGTCATTGAATTTATAAACACTAGTAAACATAATAAAAACATGTTAAACCAGAAAGTACCATAATAGAATATTGTTGAAAAATATACACAATATTAAGGAACACACTATACAGCAAATATTTCATAAATCAAAAAGTACCAAACACATACAAAGATCACTTTGCATCTCACCTGTTGGAATACTTATGGAGAAAAAACATTCACATTGTAAAAACAAACTGAAATGCTTACTAAACATCATAATAACTACAATAAAATGTAACAACCAAAAACCGTCACAAAACGCAGCTTTTAACATTGTAGCTTTTTTTACCTAAAAAACTATGTAAAAATACATTTCAAATTACAATACAATTTATATTAAGATTTTTATTAATTCAGTAATAGAAATAAAAGTGCTAACAAGACTACCAATATACCAAACTATACAGGGCAAAAAACTGTAAAACAACAAAACCAAATTTGTAACAGAAAAGGATAAAATAAACAGGTAAGAAAAAACTTAAACTTGAATGATAAAAATTAAAGATAAATATAACAAAATAATCCATAAATTTATAAATCCGAAAAGTTTCTGTGGTATGAGATTAATAATTTTTTTTACATTTTATTACATTCTATGGCATTTTGTGACTTTTAATCAATAAAGGGGGACAAGTAAGGTTATTGGCAAAATGGTTAATACAGAATCTCTAAGTGATAATGTTGTATATCATTTTACTCCACAGGTATCAACAAAGATTTAAGGTTCTTTATAAAAACCTGTAACTGTAACCTAGAAAACCAGAGGTTTAAAATATACATGAAACTGACAATATTATTAAGACATTTTTGTGACCCTTTTTCTTGCTTTATTGATTACTGTATGACAATCCTCTTGTTCATGCAAACATTTTAAGCCACAATAATACTTTATTGGACAATTATTTATGAAACCATACTAAAAAAACCTTTCATCTCATAAATTATTTGCATCTGCCACCAAGAAGAGGTAAAGGCCACTAGGGGTCACTGATTGGCACTATATCAGAAAATATTTGGCACCTAAAGCTGTATAGATATGCAACATTTCACAATCTTGCCAATTAATTATACTTATCCATGGTACTAACACTGCTTATGAGACTGATCAACCAGAACACCAAGATCATTTTCTTCCATAGCACTGTTAAAATTAGTCCCACCAAAATTATACTTAAAATCCACCTTATGATATTTCACATGCATTACCTTGTATTTTTATAGATAAAATACATATGCCATTTATTTCCTCAACTCCCTTAATATATTTGTAAAGCATCCTCCTCCTCACAGACAGCAACACCAGAGACCTTAAAAGCAGCTTTAAGTAATTTATTAACCATTTCTTTTTAGAACTATCTTTGAATTTCTAGCTAGAAAATTAACTTTTAGACACAGCCTCATCTATAACTTTTAATTTTGCTAGCATAATTGCTCAATCAACTGTAAAAGTTATAATAAATATCATGAAATTATTTGTAGTTTAGTGCTGTAGCCCAAAAAACATCCTAAGAGGGCACAACATTCCAACAGTAACAGGCACTGGAATTGATGGCAGATATTGAAAAGTGAAATCTGATAAAGGTAAATTTTTCAGTGTTAAACTTAAAAGGGAAACTTCAATCTAAACTGTTCCTGTAACTTGTAAGGAACAAATGTGAAAACCCACTTATAAGTTGTAGTTATAATCTTAATCACATCAGTTGATTGATGTAGGATACACCGAGCATTATCATTATGCTGCAAATTGTGTTGATTTATTCCTTCTTAAGTACTTTCAGTTTTTGATTAATCAATCATTTAATTTATATACTTGGGCAGTAGTTTTATTCTATTTCTTTAACCAGGCATACGAATAAGTTATAAATGCCTATTAGTATTAACTACTATCTTTGTTTTTCAAGTTTTTTTGCTTGCCTTAGCTAGCACTTGTTTTGGGTTTCATACCTTATCCAAAATTGGCCTCAGAAGTATAGGGTAAACGAGATAATTTATCGGTAACTCCTCACCCATCGTCATACTTCAAAATCTAGAATCAAAGTACAATCAATTAGTTGAATAATCATTAAGAAAGATAAGAATACTGACTATACTTAAATTTAGTTAAACTCAACTTTTCAAGGATATACAGTTAAAAATAAAAGTTGAAACGTTTCAATATACTAAACAGGAACTACGGGTTACAGGAAGTAGTTTCTACTATCTGGATAGTGCCATCTAGTGAGAAGCTCTTAATCTGTTTCTTAATATTAAAAAAATGATAGATAGATATAGAGGGAGAGAGAAATTTTGTAGGTGGTTACGATCTAACTTTTATAACTAGTAAAGTAAAAATAGAATGCAATGAAGATTTGGTTTAAATTGTATTTGGAAAATAACTTAAGCATAGCCATGCTTAATTTTGAGGTGATGATATCTCCAACGACTGATATAAGTAGCATTTCAACCAAATATTTGTATATCTTAATCTATCTATGCACTTTTCCCCATTCAGTAGTATATTCAACATATATTTTAATAACCTTCATTTGCATGTTTTAATTAGTGAAGTGTAAAGAAGGGTATTTTGAACATAATTGATTTGAATAAAACCTCAAAATTTTAAAAATTAAAACGCTTAAAGTGGGACAAAAAATACAGGGACGATTATGGCTTGATATGTGCCTGTAAAATTACTTGGATGTAAAGTAAGGTTTTTAGCTGATACAGGTTGTACTAAAACTCTACTGGATCTCACAGCGTACCTGTCATTATGATGTAAACTATTACTCTGGTCAATAACTACAAACATTTTTCTTGAAAATGGTGATTGGTTTGTAATGAATGTAGAATCTTGATTCTTCGTCACTATTGGCTTGGATTACCTACATATGTTATTTGCTAGTATAGTTTGTGTATCAGTTGAACTGTAACTCTGTGATGAATCCATGAAATATTGATGAAAATATGTACAAGAACCATGGGCGCCCTCAGGCAGGGACATTTGCGCCTTTACATTTCACAAAAAATTGCAAGTATTATGATGTAAACTTAACATCATAGTGAAACTAAGTATTTTTAGTAAATCTTATTATAACTGTATATTTGTGTTTGCGTTTAATACACATTCTTTTAGTTTGTTGACTACAGTGTAAAAGCTGATCCCCTACAGACATGTTCAGCCCCCCCCCCCGATGAAAATATTTTTGTGGACGTCCATGACAAGAGCCGTAGAGCATGAGTTTATATGAAGAATGTTGTTACATTTGTCTAATATACAAGTAGTGTTTTATGCGAACTTCGAGCACAATCTCAGGTAGTACCATTAGCTAATATTGTATTTGAGGTGAAGCTTGAGATGCACAATTTTCGTACTCACGACTATTAGTACGTTCAAGTGGCTGCCATGTGTGCACTGACGCACACTAGAGTATTTTATGTTTGTTCTGGTGGCTGGCCTAGTGAACACTAGAAATGAAATTTGATGTAATGTTATGTGGAATCTAGCTTTTTGAAAGCCAAGTTGCAGAATGCGCCTTTTGTCAATTACATGCAGGCTTACGAAATAAGTAATAAAAATGGTTTGGGAAAAATTGTGTTTTAATTATTTTACATGAAAACTGTTTTTTTATATTTTGTAAATTTCTGTGGAATAGTTTTGTTTGAAAAATAAACCTATTAAATGTTTTGTGTGCTTGAAGCTCAATTTAATTTTTTTTTTTTGTATAGCATTCTCTCATTCATATATATTCGTGTATAGCTATGTGTATATGCTGCTGCGCCAAAAAATAGGAATATCCCCTGAACGTGACTTGCCTTTATCTAGCATTCTCTACAAAGGATCACAGTGAGTAACACAGAGCCACACGAGGTAGGTAGATTAGTACTCTCGAAGTGTGTGCAGAATTACAATACGTGAATTAAATCAATTTCAGAAAAGATAAAATTAGAGGCTGCCGGAAGAGAAGAAAATTGACACATGAAATAGTTGCAGTTTGTCACGTGCGATTTGCTGTGCATGAGACTATTCAAATATTGTAGAAACTTGATCGCACGACATCAAAACAAAAAAAGTTCAGGTTTCAAAAAATTGAAGTTGGAGAGTTGTTTTTGAAAACTGTTGAAACATAACGTGGAAACTCGCCTTTGCAAAAATTCATAGTGTAACCACTGTGTCCGTAGCTGAACGGGCACAGTCTGTGAGGCCTATACAATGTGCTTTGTACAAATATAGGGAGCTTGGCGTGGCCGATTTGTTAGCGTTAAATAAAAATAGTGGATCAAATTAAAAATATTATTAACTTAGAATTATAGTACTTGAGAAAATCATTTATCTAAAATTCAAGATTCTGCAAGGAATTTTACTACTATTTGGTCAAGTTTGTAGGTAGTTTTTTCTAATGAATAATTAATGAATCTACTACACCAATGAGTAGTTTTTCTTCAGATAATATTATTTTGTAATTAAGATAAATTATTAAATGTAAGGAGTCACCAGAGATCTTAGTTAAAATGTTTTATAAGTACTGGAGTGCTTTTAGATATTAAACAACTCAATATGGTAAATATATGCAATAAACTACATTTGGAACAAAGCTACGTGTATCTGTAGTCTTATTTGTTTGAACCGTAAGAGGTAAAACATTAAAACACGTAATTAGAGTAAGTTGTAGTCTCTTAGCTGTTTTTATAGGAACGTACAATATCCAAAAATCTGTTCAAGAACATTCTGCAGACAAGGCTTATTTCTGTAACTTGTCAGAAGATGGTGCCAGGATCTGTAAGTATTTATAATAATTCCGAATATTTTATCATGTTTTTGCTCAGTGAAGGTCTCCTTCTTTCTCTTCTTTTCCACGTCTCCTCTCAGTTCTTCCTTTTGCTTGTGAATTCGTCATTAAGAAAATTAACTATTAAACTTCCACTCATGTAAGCATTTAATTCTTAAAAGCCTCGGCTACCTAATTCTAATTATGTAGTGGGGTGAAGAGAAATAGAAGTTTCTGACCGCCCTGGGGAATGGAATATACTTTTAACCTAAATTCCTACCATGCTAGATTGGATTGGATTTATCATGTTTTTGCGTTCTGATGTTCCCAAAGTATGAAAACAAACAAAGAAACAAAATACAACACACACACACACACTATAATTTCTTAATTTTTTCATCAACGCTGCAACTTAGAGATAAACAAGAGCTTATGTATATCAATTTAATTCTCAGATTATACTCCTATTAAAAGAGTTAATTACGATTGAAACAAAATAACTTTTAATTACGTGTGAGAAAGAGATGCTAAGTGCGCGTGAAGCATTGCTGGTTGTTTATAGGGTAAGCGATTAACTTTTTCTGTTTCTGCAAGTTTTCTGGTAGTTATTGAATATCAAACTGTAGGCTTAACTTATTGTGTTTCTGTAAGCTCCTTGACACTCATTGTAATATCAAACTGTAGACTTAACTTATTGTGTTTCTGTAAGCTCCTTGACACTCATTGCAATATCAGACTGTAGGCTTAACATATTGTGTTTCTTCAAGCTTCATGGTACTTCTTGCAATATCAAACTGTTGGCTTAACTTATTGTGTTTCTTCAAGCTTTATGGCACTTATTGCAATATCCAGCTGTAGGCTTAACTTATTATGCTTCTTCAAACTTCATGGTACTTGTTGCAATATCAGCCTGCAGGCTTGACTTATTGTGTTTCTTCGAGTTCCATGGTATTTGTTGCAGTATCAAACTGTAGGAAACTTGTGATTAGTTTATCAAGATGTTATTTTGAACAAGACATTTGCGATATCATCTCTAATTGGGTTGATCAGCAGTTCACTTTTGAAAATGATTCGTCTATATTAGATATACACAAACTTACACTATTATAATCATGAAGAAATATTAAAAAACAACAACTTAAATCTTAAAAACAAAAAACACCATACATGTACTAACCAGTCATCACCAGGATAATAGAATACTATGATATCCACTGTTTTGCCGTCATTCATGAAAAATACGTATTGTTACCTCTCCGTTTGTTAATTGATTTTCCGTAACTTCGTTCCGA